TTTTTTTCAAAAGGGGCAATAAAAAATCAAGATATTCTAGGAAATTTTTTTCTATTTGGAATTTGTTGAATATTTCCCCCAATACTTTAAAAATATTCAAGTCAAGATATTAGGAGTTAAATGATATGACTAAGTTAATAGTAAAAACTAAATAATTACTTTTTTTATTAAGCAAGATTTTTATAAAGATATAAAAAAATTCAATTATTATTACATATTACAATAAATTATATCTATACATATATTAGGAATAGAATAAAGATTTACACTACAAAAAAATGCTTGATATGACTCATAATTATAGGATGAACAAAGGCGTTACCCAAGAAAATAAAAACTAGTTGTTTTGTTTATTTAGAATCATTAACTAGTTCATTGTGGAACTTATTTATGGTTTTTCACTACAATAAATGATACTTATACTTGTAAGAAAAACTATTATATTATACTTTTTTTTTTAAGATAGTATCTATAATCTAAAGAATAAAATAAATATAAATAAATAAGGAAATAGATAGGCGGATAAGATATAGGAAAGAATGATTCATTTTTTATTTCAAAAAGAAAGAATTAATTAGTTATTTAATTTATAAAGGTTTAATTATTAGGTAGTTGAATTCTAAATCTTAATATCAGTTGTTGGAGATTGTCTGATAGTTGTTAGAAATTATAAAAAATGAGTTGATAATAGGCTTAAATTCTAAACATCAATATTCATTATTGGAAATTGTCTGTCAAGCAAATTCTAAAGTTTGAAAATTCTAAACCTTAATATTTGTTGTTGGAGATCGTTTTACAGCTAATAAATTCAAAAGCTTGAACATAAATATCATACTGATCATTTAGTGTAACATCCTCCTAACCCAAAATTTAAACCTATTGGATTTCATATGACATCTGGCACCTTGAGTCAAATGAACCGTGTCTTAGGTAACTATGATGGAGATATGGAAAAGAGAAAATGGAGTAAAGATGCTGGAAAGGAATAAACTAAAAACATTGTTGAGATAGTTTTGTTGTAAGGCCAAGTTTCATGGTGTTAATCTAGTTTAAATCTAAAAACAACTTTCTTGGCTAAATTGTATGCTTACGGTTTTATTAAGTCAAGTTATTGCAGGAAAGTCGATTAAAGTCCTTGATAGTGGTGTTGCTTTGTGCGTGGCATTCAATTTCTTCCGGGGGATGAAGTTATTGGGAAGTTAGATATCATCACCTATAAGTAGGCCATAGTTCATATTCTCTTCTTAGGCTATAGCTTTCCAGAAGCTTTGTCGTGGTTGAGATGCCGTGTACAATAAAAAATGGTGGGAGAAATGATTAGAGACATTTTTCGTGGGCCAATTGGTCTCGTCTCTCCATTTTTTAGTGTTTGAGTTCTATAATGTGGGTTCTAATCCACTTTAGATGTTGAAAAAAGATGTCTTCTATGAGGTATATTTTTTTAGATCTAAAAAACTTCTGATGTAGGATACTTTCACAATTATACAATCAATAGAAAATAAGGAAATGGACATTACGGTTTTAGCAAATTTTATGGAGGAGAAAGAAGAGACTGGGAGGGGAAAAGAGAAGGAGAAAGGTGAGGGGAGAGGAATAGGGGAACAAGGGATGGAGGAAAAGAGAAGGGTTGGAGTAAGGAAGAGAAATCAGAGTATAGATAAAAAAATGCTTCAAAATCTACTGGAATTACAATGTGATCTTCATTATATGAAATATCTTTATATCAGCAAAAGAGGGTGGGGTTGTTAAAAAAGCCACTTGAAATTGACCCCTTGAAATTGCCATCATCTTCTCCAACAGAGTTTCGGTGGCATAAGTTGGTGACTTTATTTTCCACCTCTTTTTGCCACCACCTTTGCAGGCATGAAAAGTGAGGCAACTTGGTCGCTTGGTAGGGAGGCAGACATCTTGCAACCACCTTCATACCAATCAAAAGTGTAGCACAAGGTGCCACCTTATCCTAAGAAAAACAAAACCAAAAGTAACTCCTAACTCTAGCTGATGCCTCTGAAATAGACTATATAATGTAAGAGAAAATGTAGAAAAACATATTAAAAAAAAGTTCCTAAAACCAGAAATATTCTCTCTGCTTGTTTGCTTTCTGCATCACTTTGTTCTCTGCGTGCGAACTCTTGTTTCTATGAGGAAAGTTTCAAAACATAGATGAACTTCCTTTCATGCATCTTCTGAAAATTTTGACAGAAAAAAGTCAGCTTCTTTATAGTGAGGCTGGCTAAAATAAACCTGGGCTGAAACATACTCTTCATTATTAGTTTTATCTTTTGCCCCAATGTCTTGTAAGTTGAAGGGCTCAAGCATAAGCCAGTTAAGCCCCAAACATGCTTGGGGGGAGGGGTTATTTGTTGATCCTTAATGCTTCATGCACATGCTTGTGTTGTTGTAGTCATTCTTGATGTTGTCTTTTAAGACTGAATAGAAAGAGATGATGCGAGCCTAAATTCACTGGAAACAGTGGAAACCTTTTGAGAACTAATCAAAATTCAACAGAAACATAGAAAACCTCGCGAAAACTAATCAAGGGAAAGGAACGTAAACTCGTGATGCAAGACTAAGTGGGAGTTTCCTAAATGATTTTGAGTTCCTTATTCACGAGTTTGTCTTTTTCTGTTTTAAGTTGAGTAGTTTATTGTATCTTTTTTTTAATTTTTCTTAGGCAACTGTTATTCATTAGGAATCTAGTTATATTTAGGTCTTGAAAATTCTATTTCCTTTTTGATTTGGTCTATTTTTCGAGCTCTAATACTATCTTGTATTAGCCAATATATCAAGGGAGAGGAGTAACATAATAATCCACAATTTGTTTTCAAACTCAATAAAATTATAGTAATAAATTTGCTCACTTGATTTTCCTGGTTGTTATATTAGAATAATTGAGCTACTGCTTAATTTTTTCATTGTACAATGTTTTATTTCCTCTCTCAAATATCTTAATCTCCTCAAAAAACAAAATTTCTTCCCAAAAAGATATCTCACTCCTCCAATAAGGCAAATTGTTATCAAAGCGTAAATAGATCTAATTCAAATATGTCTTCAAGAGAGCAAGAGCCCCTAAGCTAAAGCCACATCAAACCCATAAAATTTTTGAGATTCAAAGGAATATAGATCAGATTAAACAGGGAAATACATTACCTATGAATTCGTCCTCTAGGAGTCCGATTTGAGGGGGCACAACCCATTTACAATGTACGTATATTTATTTTTAATTTTATTATTTTCAGGAAACTATTATCAATCTACGTATAGTTAGGTTTTCTATAGGATTTTATTTGCTGTCTTGTTAGGTTTAATTTTCTAGCATTAATACTATCCTATTTACATACGATAATCTCTCTCTCTTTTTCTTACCTGTTATACTGGAAGTATAAAGCAGCTGCTTGATTGTTTAATCACTTGATAACCTTGTTCCTATTATTTATCTCTGTAATTTGCTGAGTCAAACTTGTCCAATGAAATATTCATATTTTTATTAAATTCTCTTTTTGGTTATTGTTAATGTTAATATCATGATTAAGATGCAGCAAATAATTCAGCAAGTGATTATTCTATGTTTTTGAATGAAAATTCACTTCATATAAAAGCTTTAGTTAATAGAATTTTACTAAGTTAGTTGTTTGAGTCATTACTTGCATTACTCTTTTTTCTGACATAGCGGATTCATTCTCCCTTCAGATCGAAGAAGGTTCTCATAACAGTGAACAGCTGCTTGATGACGACGACAATGAACTTGGTATTGAAAGTAATGATCTTGATATTGTAGAAAATGACCTTGAGATTGAAGAGAATGACCTTGATATTGATGGAAACGGCCTTGAGATTGAAAGCAATGACCTTGAGAATGACTGTGATGGATTGCTTGATATTGACGGCGATGACCATGGAGATAATGGAGATGATATAGTTGTGGTTGATCATGAAAATGGTGTAACTGAAGGACAGGGCTATCTGCCACCAGTTGCAGGAATGGAATTTGAATCCTATGAAGATGCTTACAATTATTATAATTGCTATGCTAAGGAACTAGGGTTTGCTATCAGGGTGAAATCTTCATGGACAAAGCGAAATAGCAAAGAGAAACGTGGTGCAGTTCTCTGCTGCAACTGTGAAGGCTTTAAAACAATTAAAGAAGCAAACAGTCGTAGGAAGGAAACAAGAACTGGGTGCCTTGCAATGATAAGGTTGAGGTTAGTGGAATCTAATAGGTGGAGGGTGGATGAAGTCAAGCTTGAACACAATCACTCATTTGACCCAGAAAGGGCACAAAATTCTAAGTCACAGAAGAAGATGGATGCTGGGACTAAAAGAAAGGCTGAGCCCGCTGTCGATGTTGAAGTAAGAACCATCAAGTTATACCGAACACTTGCTGCTGATCCAATTAGTTATGGAAGCTCAATTTCTAATGAGGGAGAGATCAGTAAAAATATAGATCAATTAAGGCGCTTGAAACTTAAGAAAGGAGATGCTGAGATTATATATAATTATTTCTCCCGGGTTCAGCTTACTAACCCAAACTATCTCTACTTGATGGATCTCAGTGATGAAGGATGTTTGAGAAATGTGTTCTGGATTGATTCTCGATCAAGGGCTGCATATGCTCACTTTGGTGATGTGGTGGCATTTGATACAACATGCTTGTCAAAGAGATATGAGATTCCACTTGTAGCATTTGTTGGAGTGAATCACCATGGACAATCGATTCTCTTGGGCTGTGGTTTGCTTGCGGATGAGACATTTGAAACCTATATTTGGTTATTTAGAGCATGGCTTACATGTATGCTAGGTCGCCCTCCGCGGACAATCATCACGTATCAATGTGAAGCCATGCAAAGTGCAATAGCAGAGGTTTTTCCCAGGGCTCATCATCATCTGTGTTTGTCACATGTTATGCAAAGCATTCTTGAGAATGTCATAGGGTTGCAAGATTCTGAGACATTTCAAATGGCACTGAGTAAGATAGTTTATGGCTCTCTAAAGGTGGATGAATTTGAAATGGCTTGGGAAGATATGATATTGTGTTTTGGACTTTCAAATTATGAGCTTCTCCGAACTTTGTATGAAGATCGAGAACGATGGGTTCCAGTTTACCTTAGAGATTCATTTTTTGCTGGGTTGTTCCCTTTCCAACAAGGCAAGTCCTCCATGACCCCATTTTTTAATGGTTATGTTCATCAACATACTTCACTGAAAGAATTCTTTGACATGTATGATTTAGTTCTACAGAAGAAGTATCAACAGGAAGTACTTGCAGACATAGAGTCTAGAGATTCAAGCTCCTTGTTAAAAACAAAGTGCTTGTATGAGTTGCAGCTTTCTAAGATATACACAAATGACATATTCCAGAAGTTTCAGGAAGAGGTTTCAAAGATGTCTTCTTGTTTTGGCATTGCACAAGTTCATACTAATGGAGCGAGCATTACATTCACAATTAAGGAATGTGAAGGAGAAGGGAATCTGAGGGATGTCAGGAACTTTGAGGTTCAGTACGATAAAACTGGGCCAGAAGTTCGTTGCATTTGCGGTGGTTACAACTTCACTGGATATCTGTGCCGGCATGCTTTATGTATTCTTAATTACAATGGTGTGGAGGAAGTTCCGTATCAGTATATCTTACCAAGATGGAGAAAGGATTTTAAGAGACTGTATGTTGCAGACCCTGGATACAACAATGTTGATATCACTAACCCAGTTCAGTGGTTTGATCATTTGTACAGAAGAGCAATGCAGGTAGTTGAAGAAGGGATGAAATCGCAAGATCATTATACCGTTGCTTGGCAAGCATTTAAGGAGTCTTTGAATAAGGTCCGTCTTCTATCAGACAAGCCTGTATAATTAATATGTAGAATGAATATTCATATTCTTTGCAGCATTAATTTTCTCTCTTTATTTTTTCTAGATATATTATTTTATCCTGCATGTGGGAGGAATTGAATTTTGACCTCCAGGGTAGTAGATAGGACTTAACTAGTCAGCTAACTCTGGGTAAATTTATGTGAATTTTCATTTTTTAGCCAATACTCTCAGCCTTTTTCTGGTTGAATTTTATATTTAGATCTCATCTTGTAAATTATTTCATGCAAATTGAAAAATAAAATGAAAATCAAATTGACTAATTTGATTTAGTTTCTTTTGGTTTTTCAACCCAAAAATACAATTTAGTTTGTAAATTAAACCTTCTTTTTGTCAGTCCTATTTGTGAACTCCTTGGAAATACAACTCCAAGTATTTATGCTTGGTAGAGTTCAAGTATTTATGCCCGGGAATGTTTGGATGAAGGGAAAATGGAGAAAGGAAAGAAGAAAATCGTGTGTCTTTCCCTTTTTTCTCGTTTTCTTTTTTGAGTGGCTCTTATCTTTTGATGGAAAGGGATGATATCATTAATAACATAATAAACTTACAACCTGAAATATAGTATAGGAGATAAATACTACAAAGTGATGCACATAATCCCAGTTAGCAAAAGGATGGACTTTAAATGGACAAGATGTTTTTGTATGGCCTGAGAAGATTGAGCTGAAAGATGGTGCTTGTGGGTGTTGAAAGAGAAATGGACAGGTTCCTATTCTAGCCCCATAAATGACATTTGATTTGTTGCAAACTAAAAAGCCAGAAGGTGAACCTTGTGCATCTGTCCTTCCTGTACGTGCGAAGACTAATCAGAGGGAGCCTACCCTTGGTGTTAGAAGAGAATGGCAAGCAATTTTGGTATGTGGACGGTCTTACTTGAACATAATCTATTCTATAGGCTTTGTATCTATGTATTCTTGAGTTCTAAGGAGATAGAATTTTAAGTGTAGTGGATGAATCATGACTGTGATCAGAGTGTGATTAATGGTGGAGATGGTTTTTGAACCGTTGATCAAATGATTGTTCTTAACTGAGTTTGATTTCTATTTAGTTGTTTACTCAGTTATCTGACAGATAAATTAAATATTTTAAAAATAATTATTTTTTTAAAAAAGTGATCCTTAAATTAGAAGTAATGATTGTATACTGAAATGATAAAAGATTGATTGATTCTCAAGCAAGTGAAGTTAGTGAATTTGACAACGTTAAAATAGTTAGTGGTGAACAAAGGCTTGTACAAACTTCATAGTGAGGTTACAAGTTGGAGCATTTTATTTGGAATTGGACTCTCATTCTGAAAGATCTCTTGATTTGTGTACAACCAAATTAGATTAAGAAGTTTGAAGTAAATATGAAAATGGGGTACCACAGCTAATGGTGGTAATTATCTTGAGACATACTTGTTGGTTTATATAGCTTAACATGAGAAAACTTAAATTATGTCGAAAGAGAATAGTCTCTAAATCTATGCGTGTGTAATCCTCAGGGCGATGAAAACCAAATAGATCATACAAATTGACATTGTAGAAAAAGGTGTGTATAACTTTCTTTACTTTGCATACAGAAGATACACATTGATTTAAATTTCTAAGACTCAGAGGCATTGATTTTAAGTTATATTAACATTACTTTAAGTAAGATTTTGAAAGAATATTGTAACAAGTTAAAGTGATGAAATTAGAGCTTGATATTTTGATTACATAGATATATGAAAATTAAAGATGTAAGTATCTTGGTGTAGTTTACTCTAATTCAAATAAGTGATTTCATTTTTTGGTTCAATATTTTTTCAAAAAGCATTGAAAATTTCAATTTGAAATCTTTTAATTTTATTCTTGAGATTTTATATATGAAAAATTATTTTGTAGCGATTTTAAAATTTTTTGGAAGTCGGATAAATTTTTAAATAATTTTTTTAAAGAAATGTATATTTAAGTAAATTTTATTATGAATTTCTATGTGAAAAAATATTTTATGAAACATTTTTTAGAAAAAAAAAATTAGAAAAGAAATTAGATGAAAAATTATTTTAAAATAACGAATGGAGCAGAGTCTGTAATGACCCTGAAAATCCAAAAGAAAATATATAATAATTTAAGTGTGGAAGCGAAATAAAATGTTAAGGTTTACATTCATTACACAATAATTTAAAAGTAGTAAATAACATCACAGAATTAATTTTTTGAAAAAAAATACGAGAAATAAGGAAAACAAATGGAAAATAGAAAATATTTAGCATATACTTGCAATCTTTTTGCGGATCGAGTTCTGGAACCAGATCCTTTTGATATGAAATGGTTGAATAAAGAATGAACTACATTAACCTAGTAAAGATATCACACTATATCACCGACACATAAGTAAAAGTTGGTATAAAATTAAAAACTATTAATTGAGCATTAAATTTAGTGAATTCATTTATCAATCATAAAATCATTTCTCGTTCACTTACTATAGTAGAATTTATGAAAACAACTTATGAAAAATAATAATATCATACATATAATAATTTCATAAACAATCAGTAACATAGAACGTATTATAAATCCATATTCATTAACAATAAACCAAACCATAATTATTTCTCTTTTCAGCAGCCTACTAGTATCCATGGGGGTTCATAGGGATGTCCCCGCTATACGTGAACCTTTTTCTTTAACAATATCAATTACAGGGCCGTCTCCATACCCCGTCCGGTATGAGCGCCAAAACAGTAAACCTCAATACCCCGTCCGGTATGAGGGTGAAGCGGGCCATTCCCATACTCCGTCCGGTATGAGCACCAAATTATTCAGTCTCCATACTCCGTCTGGTATGAGACAACATTCACGATAGGGTTTCCTATATACCCGGTCCGTCCACCATCTCCTAGGATATCTGGTAAGACTTCTTTTTTATTTAATCATTTAATTATACAATTTCTTTACCGTTTTCTTTTAGTCTCCATTTCCAAATCAAACATAATTACATAAGCAAATAAATATGCATCAGCTAATGCAATCATGTCTCAAATCCCAAACCAAACAGTAGTAGCAATTCATGCATTCAAACCATAAAATAAATCGATAAGACACTATCATGCTTTTAGACTATAAAATATATCAACAGAGATTAACAGAGAACAATTTATAATTTGGGCTCCATTAGCAATCAGTAATTAATTATGTATGGTTACTAAAATCGCACAAAATATCACATTATTATTTATTTAAACTTCAATTCTATGATAAGGAATAGGG